TTACAGGCTATAATGTAGCAAGGTTACAGTGTTGATATAATATATATTTCTAATTGAAGCATTTATATAGTATGTATACAGTGGTGTACCCAGGGATTGCTCAAAGAGATTCAGCCTCCCCCTCAATGAATATCTTATAGTATACATCTTATAAACCTAGTATACAACTTTTTATTGAAACTGTGGAATCTATCTATTTAATAGTGGTGATCGATCACAAGATGTGAATATTTACAGTAAATTATTTTTCTGTAGTTAGCTATATACATTTAATATAATTAAATCAAATTGTCAGATAAAAATTTATTTTAAAACAGTTAAAAATCTAATTCTGTGCAACACAAATGCTTTAATTGATTATTATTATTTGCTTTATTGTTATAGATAAAATTTAATGCAGGTAAACAATTTATCAAAGATATAAATATTGATTCACATTTCAACATACAATCAAATTTTATGTTTGATGATTCAAAAAAAGATAAAAGTTCATTAAATGTATGTCAATCACAAGAGTTAAATAAATTAAAATTAACCAATACATTTGATAATTTGGATGATCCGTCAATCGAAGAAAACAATGAACTACAAATTAAAAATGACTTAAAACAAACAAGACACATGATGAGATTTTTCAATAAACATTCAAAAAGTGAAGGTTGTRTTAATAATACAATAATATTTATGTACATATTTATACATAATTCATAGATATGTAACAAAAATTAAAATTAATTTACATCAACAATATTTATTGTGCTGTTTGTGTTTTTAGATTTAAATTTAGAAGCATTGAGTTTTATGAAAGGTATCATGGATGAATGTACTCATTTAAAAAATTTTAAACCTCCTGTTGATATGGATATAGTAATAGCAGTTTGTGCAAAACGAGATGGTTATGTGCCCCAACATACCATGGATAAATTAGAAGATATTTGGCCTGGTGCAGAGGTCAGATATGTCGACACAGGACATGTTGCTGCTTTTTTACTTCACCGAAATACATTCAAGTAAATTTAGAGATTTAGATTTTTTATTTTAAGTATTTATTTTCATGTTGATTAATATTAATTTTAACTACTTCATAAATAAATAATGTAATATTTTATCATAAAAACTATTAATATTATTTTATAATTCCATTGAAATTATTTTACTTGTAACCAAAATATATACACCAGTAGGGATTCCAGCAGAGAATTAGCTCACTAGTTGCAAACTGCTTTTGGCGGAAACATAAACTGTAGGGTGCAAATCCTCCCTCCCCCAACCAACACTGATTTGTATGAAATCTTTTCACATCAATAATCAGATTAATAAATCATAACTAATTTGGATTAATTAAAAATTACTCTGGTCACTGATTTATTAATCACAATATAATATCATAGAATATAATCAACATAAAATAGTTTGACCACTCATGCTCAACCTCATATATGATAATATATTATCACAAATGGCGATGTCAACATGAGTAAAATTAAAATTCTAATTACATGATATGTCTGTCCTTTCATGAATGTACTTACGGCCAGTGTAACCTAACCTAACCAAGGCCCATGGATCAGTTTTTTTTAAGAAGCACTAAATTTACATGACATTTTATTCAAACAATTTTTCTTTACCCTGGACATCAAAATTTTCAAGATTACACCAAATAACATACGGTTTAATAATTTGATAAATACTTTATAAGCAGTAATCCCTTTAAAAACCAGGAACAGGACAAGGAAATAAAAAATGTATGAGACCCTAAAAAAAACGAAGGGCCCTATAGCAACGTTCATGACCTAGCGGCCATAACCAGGCTGACACTACTTACGTTGATTCTAAAGTTGCGATAGAGTTTCTCAAAATTGAAAATTGTTTGCCATAATCATAGAAATAAATAAATTAACAAAGATAGAATTTTTTTTTTAAAAGTCCAAATTATTAAAAAAATAATCAAATGGTGCATTTGCACAATCAACCTATTCCCTTCAGTATTTCCCTGACTCCCTGTGCATTAGTAATATTATATAAGTATTAAACATTTCAAATATTATTTCTTATATAAACTATTTTTCTGACTTGTTAAATTAAAATGTTTTTTGTCCAAAGAGTCTGTTAAAAAAATATAAATATGTATATATTTTAATGAAAATATTAATTAAGGAATTCATCATATATAATTATAATATATATAATTTTCATTTATATTGTGTATGTAATTGTGGACAGTTTTATATTAGTTGAAGCTCATGAAACGCATTAAATAATTTGTTGTAATAAGTAATTTAACCACCAATCAAAATTATATAAAATATAAAAATATTTATGCTTTTTGTGATTTTCTTTTTTTGAATATTTATTTAGTAAATTTTGTTAATGAATAGRAGTTATATTATAATTTTATAATTTTTCTTTTGTTTATAGAACTGCGATAATTGAAGCTTTTCAACGAGCTCAAAAGAAATATTATGACAAACCATTATGATTGTGTTATAACTCCAGAGCTTTAACACTTAATTTAATTTAAGATACTAATTGTGTTCTTTTAGTATAATTTGTATTATAATATTAAATTTTCTTGTATTATATTCCAGGTCARCACAAAGAAAGTTATGTTTTGTAACAAAATATTTATTTTTATTTTTTATGTTGAGTAATAATAAGTCTATAAATAATATGGAAATATGTTAGGATTCATGATAGGATATATGATGGTACTTAAATAAAAGTTAAATTATTCTTAATTATTAATAAAACCAAGAACTTCATGCAATTGCATGTTTTTACTGAATCTTCCAATAATTGATAAAGCAATTACAAATTTGAAGTAAAATTTATCATTTCTAACGCAAAGTCTTATTTTGTATACCTATTGTTTATTTTAAGGTCTTTTAATTTTTGACTTTTTTCACATTTTGGTTGTTTACTGCATGTACATACCTAATCCAATTTTTTATTAAAATTGAAAAAATACTTGTCACATATTGTTGTCAAAAAATAAAAAAATATATATAAACTTGTATTTAACTTGTATTTAACTTGTATTTAACTATTTCACGTACATGTATTCCCGAATATAACCTTATTTTACACACCACCATATTAACCAATTATAAATCAAATGAAACCAATAACCCATTGAAAAATACCACCTGCCTGATATCCTCCCCAGAATGAAGTGTGCCTGTGTGAACGACTGCTTATATCGCGTGTACAAAAGATCAAGTGATTGGTAAAAAAAAATTTGAAATGCTTTATGTCGGAGACTGGCGAGACGTCATGCCAGCCCCTGAAGAGTTTTTAATACATCTGAGTGGCTGCAACACCTACCTACAACATGTTTGAGCATTAAACACCTTTTTTACGACACAATTGAACAAATTTGTCGGCGTATCAAAGGATAAAAAAATACATTAGAAAACCTACACAGTTGAACACAAAAAAAACTGCAATGTTGTCAATTAAAATTTTTAACTGTATTATACAAAAAAAATTTATTTAAATAATTAAAAAAATAAATATTATTAAAAAATCGGGTAAGTCGTAGATGTCACTCTGCTGTACAGTAGGTTACAAGTGAGTTACTGTAATGGATGGAATTAAATTTGAATCCAATGATATTATATMATTGTATACGAAAAACGATTCTGAGCGGAAACGGTTTATCTGTCTAGGATATATTATAGATTATTAAAAATTTTCAAATTTTAGATTTAAAAAGAAAATTTTTTATGAATTGTCTAGCTTAAAATAAGTTGCGAATTTTAGTGATTTTTACGTATGTTGTCAAAATTAAAATTTTGAACGTTTGTAAAAAAAAATTGTGACTATGCATTTCTTTTATTTTTTACTGCTATTGTAAAAATATGTTAGGAGCCTTGTATTCAATTTTCAAATCTTAGATTTAAAAAGAAAAACTTTTATGGAATTCTATAATTCTATCTAAGATAGTTTGAACATTGCCGTAATTTATACGTATTTTGTCAAAATTTGAACTTTAAATGTTTATAAAAAAAATCGCGTCTATGTATTTTTAATATTTTTCAACTGCTATTGTTACAATGTGTTAGAAGACTTGTATCAAATTTTCAAGCTATTCTACCCAACAAATAAATTTTTATCGATATTTATACTTTTATAGGAAAAAAAAAACTAAAAAAGTTGAAAAATTAAAATGTCAGTAAACAGCTCAAAACAAATCTAAATATTTTTTAAATTGTATCAAAAATAGAAAATGCCTATATAAACATTCAATGAAAATTTCAAGTATCTGCGGTCATTTGTTTTAGAGTTAAACCAAAATAAGAAAATCGCTAAATGAAAAT